AGGTCAAATCCATATTGTGATACACTGTGATACAGTTAACACATATTACTTTTTTACTTACATATTGCAAAACTTAAATATTACAATACTTACTGCAATACATTGACTACTACATGTATTACTACACTAATGCTACAGTTTTTTTAGGAAAAGTTAATAGCTCATTAAACTGTTGATTGTGTGTGTGTGTTTGATTTGTTTACCCTCACCACCACCGGAATTAAACATATAGACCAGCATATACTACATTTATAACTGACTTTTTTTTTAAAAAGGGAGCTAAATATAGTCATTTCTACAGTTATATCTGTACATGTGTCTACGTCTGTGTCATTTGCACTGTAGATATGCTCTGGTATTTACAAAAGTTTCAGTTCCTTGTGAAAGTGAAGGCAACTAGTACTGGTAAACTTCTTGACAGCCTTCCCTGGAATGATGCAGAGGCTTAACTGTGCTCTGGTGAATTAAATGTGGCTTACTGCCATGATCCTGAATGAAAACTACCAACACCGCCACCACTACCATAACACATGTACCACTAACTGTTTATAAAAGTTTTAAACAATAACTAAAGGTGTACATGAAGAAGGTTGCAGCTAACTTGCTTGAAATAATCAAAATAAATAATTGTAGTCATATTTGGCTTTAACAAAAATCTGCCAAGTGAATGATACTGGTAAAACTCTACCTGTATGACTGTGCATAGTACCTTAAAGTGAAGTAACATGCCACTCAAAAGCGTCAGTTTAATTAAGAGATTATGGTCTTCAGCCATGTATGTCATGAATTATTCATCAGGCATGTGTCACAAGAAAGTCATAATTGTGGATTTATTATAAATTAAGTGCTTTTATCTGGCCAACTTTACATACAATGTAAATTACATGTATTTTAAGGCAACTAGTTCAAATTTGAGGTGAAATGTTGCAGACAAGCCTAAATCAATTTTATCAATTCTTCTTGTCACATGTTATACAAATGAAATGAATCTGTTTTACACTGAACTCTTAATTAACGACTGTATATTGGACTGAAAGCAACACATGAAAGATTCAGATAATACATGTATAATGTCCAGATATTGGACAGCCCTAGAGGAATATAACTTAATCCACATGAATTTTGTATCCTTAAAAATGTTAGACAATGCACTGTATTTTTTTTTTGAGCTGATCTTGACAGCAGTCTATACATGTATCTGGAGCTAATTTACTTTTTTCTAAATGTTTTACCACAATTACATTGTATAGTACAGGGCGTTTTTTTCCCTTCTATAGCAGGGGGCGTTAAAGGGCTGCTTCCAAAAAAAAGTTCTTTAAGATAAAATTGCTTTTTTCCCTAAAAATTGAATTTACATCAATTTTTTTCTTCCCTTTTTGTAAATATACCAAACAATTTTCCCTAAAAGTTAAGGGCAAGGTTGCTACCCCAACCTGTGGAAAAAAAGCCCCTTTAGTAACGATACATGTCACAGTATGTATGTTATATTCTGATGGCTGAGTTAAACAAAATGTACTTTTATGGGATTTAGTGCTATAAAGTGCATGAAAACTGCTTCTACAGATAAATACATAAAAAAAATGTAAATTAGATAATCAGCATCACAGTATTCAAAACATATTAGCTTAGTTTTAACAAACTGTTTTTATGCTAAATTTTTTATGTCCACTTCATGGACAAACATGCACTGATATTATATAAGGTAACATACATGTAGTATACATGTAGTTGTGACTCAGGGTTTGGACTCATGATCCCTGGATTGAGAGGCAGACACAATTAGCCACTATAACACTCTCTCCCCTCACATACATGTATATCTTTTATCACATAACTTAAAACTTGTGGAACACACAGAGCTCGTATAAATGTGTTTCATGTTTCAAATTGTTACAGTTTTTATTTCATTTTGATTTTGACAATCATTTTTACAGATAGGGTTAATTTTTAGCTCGACTATTCTATAAGAATAAGTAGAGCTATTGTAGTCACCCGAGCGTCGGCGTCCGCGTCGGCGTAACCACTTATGTTAAAGTTTTTGTAATAGTTTAAATATTTTCAAAGTCCATTGACATATGGCTTTGAAACTTTGCACACTTGTTCACCATCATAACCCCAACCTGTAAACAGGAGGAGGTAACTGTATCAAGCATTTTGACAGAATTATGCCCCTTTTTCGACTTAGAATTTACGTTAAAGTTTTAGTAATAGTTCAAATATTTTCAAAGTCCATTGACCTATGGCTTTTAAACTTTGCACACTTGTTCACCATCATGACCCCAACCTGTAAACAGGAGGAGGTAACTGTATCAAGCATTTTGTTTTACAATCAAGCACTAAGAATAGTCGAGCGTTGCTGTCCTACCGACAGCTCTTGTTGTACATACCATTACCAGTACATGTAAAAAACCAAAAATATAAAAATCAATGTTCCAGTTTATACCTTAAATAAAACACATTTATTTTTGTTTTGATTTACAAATAATATATAAATAATTAAATCAGAACCAATCTTACGTAATTGAGTGACAAAATATTTATAGAAAAATAAAATGAATCAATACTGACAAAAATACTGAATTTCAGCTATTCTTTTCAACAAAGTCAGTTTACCGCAAATACCCCCACTCATATCAAATTATTTTTTTGTACTTGATGACCTTTAAAAGACAAAATAGACATAAAAGCTTGAGTTATTCAGCCTAATATATTTAACAAGTAGTTGCATTGTTTTGAACACGGAACTTTTGCCTATCTGGGACCTTCTAACAAGGGTTAAAATTTTTTAATATTTTTATCATTTATAAAAGAGCCTCTTCTCCTTATTAAGTTTCTTCCAATTAAAGGAAACAGGCATTCACTTAAAGCCCTCTGAAATTTTAACAGTTTTGTCTTGTAACTTACTAACTCAGACGTGTGGAAACACTGAGAATTCAAAACGAAAGTAAGGTTGTTTTTTTTCCAAACAAACAAAAATGATTTGGTTTTTTTCAATCATTGTAAACGAGGTTTCCACTATAAATAACACTTATTTAAGACACAATACCATCAGTGTTGATCACTAGTATTCCCTAAATGATGGTTAAAAATAACCAGGTTTCCTTCCTTGTTTATATATACCTATCATGTGGTATATGACTGATTAATCCATTATTTGGTATCTAAATTGTATAACCTAAAACTAAGTTCATTTCCACTTCAATAAGATATATATAATCTTTTTAGGATATATTTATGGCCCTAATGCATATTTTGGTAGCAAAACAGCTATGTTTCATCAGGAGTGCATCCAAAGGACCCCTCAAAGCTTGCAACCCACACTAAAATTTCCATTCCTTTAGAAGCCTAGTACTGAAAAGTATTTTTTATTAATAACCAGTTTGCCCAAAGTAAGTTTTGATATAAGGACCACTTAAGCTAGTCATATTGCACTCCCAAAATCACAAATATGGGGGTCCATGGACCCGGACTCCAAGAGTGAAACTCCTAGAGACTCCTGTACCAAACAATTTTTCAACAACTGTTAACAATTTTTACATGTGGCCCAACTTCTTGAGTATTCATAAGAAATGTAAATTTACATGTATACTTGATATTTGTATTACAAAATGTATATGACCTTTTGTATATTCAATGTCTGTATTATATAATTATGCAATAAAATATATCAATGCTAAACTAAAATAAAGTTAATGCAAAGGAAACCTTATTTTTGTAACATATAACATTTATATTTCACCTTAAGCTAGCTATATTATGGTCAATTAACAAATTTCAAGGCCAAGCTAGACATCAGTAGCTACAGGGTAAGAAATGGACCTCTATCTACATACATCATCAAAAGTCATCCCAGATACATATACATGTACATGATGATGATCTAGGATATATCATAAATACAGATCAATATTTTTACTTTTAGTGTAGGTAATATTTCATCCATCGACCAGCTTAAAACAAATTCTTATCCTTTTTTCTTAAGAAACATTTCCCCCCTGACAGATGTGCCAATACACGCACAGAACTAATGTCCATAAATGACAGAATTTCTGTAAATCATAAATGGATATCATCATGCAATAAAATAGACAATGTGACAATCCCTGGGAATTAGTTTGAGATCAGGAAAATCCCAAGTTTATTTAGATACAAATGTAGATATAGGTTAGTTTTCTAGGGAAATACATGAAGTTTCTCCTCAACATGAATTGTTTTTTTCCCAAGTATATACCAATTTCTGGCATAAAATGTTCACACAGTGAAACCTTTACAGAGTGGCCTCCCTTTAGGCAGCATTCACCTCTTTACAACAACCACAATAATTATTCCAAAAGTATGACATCACAATAAATTTAACTTCTGTCTCGAACATTTCTCAGCAAAAATTCTGAAGGTGCCTTGCTCTGCTGGGTTTGTAATATATTAAAACAAGAATATAGTTTTTTAGTAGTATATCAGTCATATACTTTTAACATTGTTTTGAAAAAAGGGACATGTTTACATTTTTTTTATAAAAAAACTGGGTAACTATTGCAAATATGTACTAAATACATGTAAATATTGTATCATTAAAATACAGTGATTTTATCATGTGTGCCTAAAATATACACAAATTAATTTGAAATGAAATACTGTTTGTTCAGAATATAAAAAGGTCAATAAATTTGTATAATTGATATTTTTAGAATCTACAAACACCAGTTGGTTAATAACATTAAATAAGTTGCAACTTTGAAATATAATCATAAATATAATCATAACAGTTTCATTCATAAAAGGACATGAGGGAGAGTTTTGACACCCCCCTCTCCCCGCCCCCCCCCAAAAAAAACTTAGTTTTGACAGTCATAAAAAGACATCTGCCTGGTGTTATTATCACAGATACATAAAACAACACCATAACCATTACAGTTATATCAGCCATATTGATTATTACTGTAAAAGATACATGTTAGCTCAGTAAAAGATAAGCTCTGTCTATTATAATATATTTATCTTACTTAGAGTGTCAGTTTCATCAATGATCTCCGACTGAATTATTTCCTCGATTACGTCTTCCAGTGTAACAACACCAAGTGTCTCGTAATACGGATCCCCGTCCCCCTCGTTGTTCACCCGTCGTATAATCGCCATGTGGGAATGACCTATAAAAATATAAACAGAATACAAAATAATTTTTAAAAATTCATTCACCATCTCAAAAAAATTGATAATAATTAAATTAGTATATTAACAAGTCCATGTAAAAAGACAAACTGCATTTTTTGTTCTTGCCTTTAATATGACATGATTTTCAAACAAAACTAAAATGTTTTTCAAAATAAGTCATCATTTTTTTCAGACTATCTCAAAAACAGGTTATAATATTATACATGTTAGTATGATGTTACAATTTACAATATACACAATGCATTTCAAATCTCTTAAAAGAAAGACAAAGTGTCTTATGAAATTCTTCTACTACACTTTTGATCAGGAGCATAAATTTTACATACTATTGTACATGTATGAACCTGTACTTCTAAAGTTTTTTATCCTGACACTTATTTTATTTTTATACATTTGCAAAAAAGCAGTGTAAAAATTGTGTCAATACAGAATAGAGTGCAAAAACCATAGTTTTTGGAATAGGAAAAAATGCCCCCATTCTCTGAAGTTATTTTTATATGGCATGAATTTGATTATCAGACTATCAGTTCAACTCTTCGTGGCATTTCCCTTTTACTCAAGTTATCTTTATAACTGGACTATCATATTAATGACTTTGTACAAAACATAATATTTGTATAATTTTTCTTCCAAAACAACAGCTGCTGTCATGCAGAATAGATAAATTCTATTCAAACTTATAAATTTCTTATTACCTCTGAACAAAGTGTCTAACTCTTATCAATTAATTCTAAGCAATCAATCATTTTAATTGAACCTTTGTCAGAGTCTGTTGTGTATCAATATTTTATAAGTATGTTCTGCAAGCCTGTAACAACTTAGACATCTTTCATTTAAAATAACTCAATAATAAATGTTTATTCAACGCACTTCATATAAACGCATTTCAATAAATCCCTGGAGAAGTAAACATTTCTATAAAATAAATAAGTATATATATTTAAAGCTTTCTGTATGTATGCAACTGTATATTTTATGCATTAAGTGTGTACTAAAATGTTGTATATATATTTTGAGCATCTTTTTGTTTTGATAAAAAGCCTCAATTTTATACTTAGAGCTACATGTCTCCAGACGAGTCAAAATATTTCAATAAAATCAAACTTGAGAAAAATGTACTAAGATGTATCATGTAAGGAAAAGTATAAAGTTTCACGATTCAAGAAATATTCTATATATTATGTGCGATTATTGACTGATTTTTCAGTATTTACATCTATATTTCTACTGCGTTACTAACGCAGTAAAGGCTAATTATGCATATTTTGACCACGTTTTGGTAATTTACGTGGTTTGTAAGTGGCATTGATAATGTGTACATTGCTTCCTTTTAGTTACTTCACTGTATTTATATACACATTCAAATACATTTTCAAATTTTTCATGAAAATTAGCATGAATCTCGAGGCGTGCTGCTTTAAGGCTTTGGACCAGACCTAAGTTGAGATCCTTTAACATTTATACAAGTATTAAGTCAAGGACATAAGGCTGAGCATACCAACTTAATGAATATATATGAAAACACTGTGAACATTTTTTTTTAATTATATACATACTTTCTCCTTTAATGTATATGAATGAACATTGAAATACATGTACCACTAACCAAACATAATTTCCTAAACAGACCAAGATGAGATGTCCAGTTTATCTACGCACCAAAAACAAAGTTTTTTTTGTCAGGAATTTACAGAAAACAAAGTTTTCTTCCTTCTGATAAACTTTTCTGTTGGGACTGGCATTATTCATATTGTTTTATGTAATTAGAATGTCTGGAAATGTTTAAATAGCATATAGATGTGTGCATTTCTATATACATCTATGTTTCCTCAGCATCATTCTATTTAATATTTGATAGTGAACAAGTAATTCAATAACCTAAAGCAAACAAGACAACCGAAAAATTCAAAATCAAAAGGGGGCATAACTCAGAAAATAAAGTTCATGAAGTTTAGAAATGCATTCCAATTTAAAACTGTAAAAAAAGTTTAAAAGAAATGAACTTCAAATTTACCTGAGAAGAAAAAAACGTCAAAAAAGTGGCATAACTTTGCAAAAATGAATTTTATGATTATCTTCCCTTCTGCAATGGTATTATATTTTGATAGTGAACATGAAAATGAATATCAAGTTTGAAGTGAATTATTTTTATAGTTACATGTCCTAAGAAAATGAAACTAACAAACAGATTAATCAGGGCTCAAAAAATAACTTTGCAAAAAATGATTTTAGGATTATCTGCCCTTTTAAAATAGTGTCCTTTCAAGACAATAAACATGTATAATAAGTTTGAAGTGAATACATTTCACAGTATCATAGAAAATAGACCTTAACTTAAAAATTAACCAATGACAATGCTGTCTGACAAGAGTGTCCACAAATAGCTCCACTTTTTTTTTCTTTGCAAAATAGAGCTAATAATGAAAGGTTTCGTCTCGAATGGTAGACAAATCCATTTTCAGATATTAAGAATGGTAAGGGTTAAATATGTAGAATCAGCTAAATTGTATTTTTTCTTGTACCTTTAAGTTTAACATAAATGCATTTATTGATATACTTAACATTTTGTTTACAAAACACAGTGTAAAAATAGATACTATATAGTAAGAGATAGTACGCTAACCTAGTTTAATGTATGATAATTTTGATAAACATATTGACATAATATATGTCAGCCTGTGAATTCATTAAATCATCATGTATAAAAAAACGGTGTATAATTTCATCATCAAACCATTAAACTATTGTATCTAGTTTACATTATCTTTCAACCTAGCTAGTGAATAACCTATTTCAAGGAATACAAGGTCATATCTGTTTATCCTCCCCGGGACACTATCTTTATACATACCATATTAAAATAATATTATGCAAAACTTGAATATAATATACTGTATATACCTATTGCTATAAATTAATCATTTACATGAACACATGTACTTTAATATTGAAGTTGCAAATATGCAACTGTGAACAGTCCATTTAAAGTTTAAGGGTTTTCTTTATCAAAATACAAAAACTAGTACTACATGTAAGCTTGTGTATGAGTACAGCGTTGAGCCTAGCTAGACTATACGGTTGTGCCGGCTGGCCAGACTCTGTACTGGTGGTGGGCCTAAACTTGAAAAACTTTTGGCTCTAGCAGGTATATGGATTAATATCGTATTTTTGGGTAATCAAAACCATATAAGTTATATATATGTATATGTATAATATACAACAATGTACTAAAGTTAAAAAAAAACTGTTAACAGGTTAACAAATAATCCAACAGACAAGACCCCCCAGAATTGTGCATTTTTACAGTGTTTTAGACAATTTGTGAAAAACTGACAACATAATTATTGTATACACCAAATTTATTGTAAGACAAATCAAATTTTTGGTTAAATACCTTTCTATATTTTAATCATATTTAAGCACAATTTGTAATTAATGCAAGATACCAATTTTCTATACAATGTATATGGTGCTTAACATAACAAAATGACAATAATTTTACTCTTTTTTTTGAAAATTGTTCTTTGAATTTTTCCTTGATATTGGGATACAAACAAACTTTTTGGCATTGGGAACATAACCCAATAATGGCCATCAAAATGGGTCAGAAAAAAAACCCTGAAGACATTTCTCTTAGCATATTCAGCCATAATGCAGATCATAGCAAATTAGCATACTATAAAGCTTAAAGCACTTTGATTTTACACATTTGATAAAATCTTTCCTTCAGGGAACAAGAAAATATTTTTCAAATGTTTAATATACAAGAAAACAACAAAAAAAGACAATGTAAAAATATGAGGCAGGCTGCTTTTAAGTAGTGATTTTTCATTTAATTATGGAACCATAAAATTGTTTTATTTAATAATTTACAAATGTACATATATTATAGTTAAATCTTACAGTATCAATGGTTTATTTAAATAGTTTGCTTAAAAATCAGAACTGCCTATGTTTTAACTTAAATTTCAGGGCAGTTTTTTAAACTGCTTAACAATTTTTTTTGTTTCATAACTTTATATCTGTGTAAATTATGTCATAATGGTAATTTGTATTTTCTCTTCAGATCTATGTATGAAAAGTTTACATAATGTTACCATTTTAACATAAACTAGCCATATCTTAATACTGTTACTGCTGTCAGTTGACATGTTAAGAACACTTGCAATTAATTATGCAAGACAGCATTGTACATGTATATGTAATTATGTCTGTCTATTGCAAAAGGCTTACACAAATTCAGCCATGGTTAAAGAGGACTCAGGTTAAGGCAAACACTGTTATGAACATATAATTATAGAACATTGTAGTGTGAAGAATATAATTTTGTGCAGTATTTCAAATATCTGTTAAATCAATTTTGAACTCCAACATTATACATATATTTAATATAATTTATATAAGGAAAACAATTTATTAATAAAGGCTTGAGAAGGGGATCCTTAAAAATTATTAACATAATATGATTATGAAGTCAGTCTGTCAAGTGTGATCATGATCTTAAATTCTGATACGGTAATTAATAACCAAAACTATTTTCTTTCGTGAAACATTTTGAAAAATTTCAACTTAAAATTAATAAAAACATTTCAATAACATTACTGTATTTCAAAATATAAACCATCCTCTAAACATGTGATCTGAATGATGTCACCTACACCTACAAGTACAGTATATCACACGGGTATTGGGTATATTGTATCAATTCCAAATTTATGATTTATTTACATTTGTATAAACCACAAATAGCTATTTACTTTAAATACATTATTTTTAGGAGATTTAGTATAAAGTCATTATTTCATGAACAATTATTGATTTTTTTATTTGAACAATTTCAACAGGATCTGAGGACAATGACTGATAAATGAGTATGTCAACTCTTACAACCCTTAATATCTTAAATGGATCTGTCTATCTGTCAATCTGGACAAAACCATTCATCATTTTTAGGGAACTTTTCAAAATGCATTTTTGTAAGTACTAACTGAAAAGCAAACAGAGTGCATACCATGAAAAAAGGGGACAAATATGCTGGGTGTTCTTTGTCTGCAGTCTGTACTGGTTCACTTTGGTTGTAGGGGTAGATCAGCAAACTAACAGTTATAGAAATTTATGCTCAATACACTTTTACAATGTATATGTATGATTACCATTTTTAGATCAGCAACAATAGTTACAGTTTAACTCCTGTTAAATCTTCAATGAAGAGCAAGCTTTATAAGTTTATTCAATAAAGATATTTCTCCACTCAATATCTTTAAACATAAAAAGAGTATTCTAAATATAAATAAATCAATTGGTTCTTTATTGTCATGAGAGAAATAGTGTAGCTGAATACCTCCAGGATGGTGTAATTTTGATACTTACATAAAATTACATACATAAAATGCAAAACCATTTAGAGTATTAAATGGTTAACTTAAAAACTGCTAGAGCACTGGAAATTTCATTAAGAACAAACTTTAACTGAAAGAAAAATTTTGTTATATGAAAAAAAAAAACGTGAAAAGTGACATGAGACCTAATATAGTATCCAAAAATATTTGCAGGGAAAAACATCAAACACAGAAAAACATGCTGAAAAAATATCATAACTTTATAACTTTCAATCTATACTTGTAGGTTAGAGAGAAGAATATTATGATACTTCATCTATAAAATAATGATTTTAGATTTTATCTAAGCATTAAACAGTTATAAATCAACATCAAAATCTAGAAAGACGCACAGTTTCAAAATATGTGTATGACAGCATCACATTTGACATAATGCAAATCTGGTAGTTTTTAACCCAAAATGGTTAGTGATTTGTTTGCAGAAAATGTTAAATCCCAACCAATTGATGCTTTTTAATGTGCTTGGTACTTGCCCATTGGCATTCTCACCTTAGCCAATCAGAGCTTCCCTTACACATGAGGGTGAATCGATCAACTGTCTATCCATTCTAAATTTGTAAATCTTAACAGTTGTTTCATATCTCAAGGGGAAAATTTAAAAAATGAAACAAGATGATCTAATTATTTTTCAGCTGATGATTGTCAGCTTGCCTCTTTGATGAGAAAAAAGGTGTGTCATATGGAATTTCTAGATTGATCACTCATTAAATTTTTAGTTAATATAAAAATATAACTAACCTTGACGAAAGTCTTGCAACATCTGGTCAAGCTTATGGTCATCAAAAACAAAGATCAGATGGTGCTGATAAAACTTGCAGATTGTCTTTAAAGGAGTGTTGTCATCTGGATCAATCAAAGCCAAGTCTTTTATGTTCAGTAAAGCAACAATGTTACTCTTTTCATTTTCATATACAGGAATTCTACTGTAACCTCTCTTCATAATTTCTGACATAGTTTCAAAGTTCAGAATATCATTATAATCTAGAACAAAAACATCATCAATACGTGTCATTATATCTTTGACAGTTTTCTTAGTCAATGACAATGCCCCAGATATAATGTTTACTTCATCTTCATCTAAAGCACTGAAATCTTTAGTCACACGAATCAACTCCTGAAGCTTTTCTCTGTTGTATACTTGACCAATTTCTTCTCCAAGAATCTTATCTAGCAACAAGCTAATAGGAAATGAAAGCGGAAAGGTTAGGATCATGAAAAAATATGTTATAAATCTTGTCTTAGCTCCAACAGCTAACCCATGACGAGAACATAAGGCCTGCGGAATAATTTCACCGAATATAACAATGAAAGCTGTAGCTGCAATAACAGCAATAAGTCCATTGCTGACATTATCAAGTAAAATGGTTAAACTGTTGTTAACAAGCACATTTCCTAGCAGTAATGTACACAGTAAAAAATTTCCACGTTTCCGGAGAGGTGATATCACTTTTGCATATTTCTTCTCATTTGGTTTTCCACAACTTTCAATGATTTTCAGTTCAGTTTTATCCAATGCCATCAACCCCAGGTTCAATCCACTGAAAAGCCCCGAGAGACAAAGCAGTCCAACAATAAAAATAATCTGAAGCCATAAGGGTAGAAAGGTAGTTAATGCCTTTGAAATGGTAAACCTCAAGTAAGGATCATTTCCCTGATGTATCCAAGAGATATCCTCACCAATTCTTTCTTTTACACAAAGGTAAAGATACTCTCCTTCAGGGGTTATCTTATCAAATGTTACTTTAAGGATACCTCTATGATTTGTTGTTTCTGATGAGTTTTCCACACTATACATGGATGTTAACTGTCCATGTTTTTCACAATGAGTTCCCTTCTCAGCCGCCCTTGATGTAAACGCTACGGTCGAATCAGCGGAAAAATTCCGACCAACTAATAAAATCTTTTGCGAAGCTTCTGCGACAAAAATTGGGGATCCTGACGCATCCCTTTGAGATTCTGTACTGGTAGGAACAATTGCTTCAATTTCGGCAGCTATAATATCTGCATTAATGACATGTTGGAGTGATATAACACAAAATAAAAGTAAACAAATTTTTAGGCGTCCATGATCGGCCATTTCTAGTGAAACGTAAGAATTGCATTTGCGTACATTTTGACATCTGATTTAGGGTTTACGCTACTAAATGTGATTTATCTGCTTTCAATGCTGCTTTAAAATTAAAGGTGTTTCTTTTATGTGTAGTTTACAGATTTTTTACGCTACAACTCTGATTATTGGTAAAAAAAGAATGTCAGATATTTTAATTAATAAAGCTTGATTTAAGGGAGCTCTTTTCTCTGGATAAATCTAAAACAGGTATTTTTTATTTTACAAAGTAGGGAGAAGAATTTTAACGGAACACACGGTACACTCACAGAACAAGCCGACTCATAAGCTACATTTCATGAAAACTACATATACAGCACATAAAGAGAGGTAAAGCATATTAAAATAATATACATGTAGGATTGTAATTTCTAGCATATCATGCAGACAAGATTTTCTTACATGTCAGACATAGTTATCTATTATATTTGTATACATCTGTCTCACATCATTTAGATCTAAATGAAAATATTACTTTTCATAATTTCTTTCTGAAATATGTTTTATATTTTGTATGCATTCAAAGAAAAGAATCAATCCTCAGACGTGAATATCTAGCTCTCAGTTTAACTGTTAACGGAAGCTAAGCATAGCCTCATTGTATTATGCTAGCCTCTGGCGAGTATAATATTACTTTATTCAACGAATTCAATAATTAAGTAATGAAACTACACGAATATAATATTCTATTTATCACAAACCCAAAATAAGATTTTTTCCAGGTAAAAAGAATCAACTTTTAAGTGACCTTTTAATATTAAGCTAACATTAAGCGCGTCTTAACGCTATATTTATTTAACGCTTATGACGTCACGTCAAAATATATGCTCGGCCATGCAATATCATTTTTACGGAATCTTAAAAGCGTCATGGATACGTGATAATAAGTGCATTATTACACGATGTATGTACAGTATAAATATGACGTCAAATATGACGTCAATGAACACATACAACCACGTCAGAAAAATTACTTCCACGCTCAATCTATTATATGTAATTCAACATATCTTTATCAATTCTCTTTTGAATGGGAAAGGGTATTAATTATTCTTGCAATATTATATATACTGTAGTATAATAATGCAAGGTTTTTTGATCAAATACTTTGTCTACTGGCCTAAAAGGCCTATCGGCTCCGTGATTTATAGAGGATATTTGTTTAGTTCAGTGTAAGATCAGAATATATTTCACCGAGTGAGCACCAAAAGGTATATTTCACGAGTGGCGCAGCCACGAGTGAAATATGGACTTTTTGTGTTCACAAGGTGAAATGTATTTCGATCTTACACTAAACTAAACAAATTTCTTTATATTATATGCAAAGAAATTTTTCAAAAAGACATTTAACCTAATACTGAATGAAAAGCGCGCCAAATAATAATACGACGTCACGTCATTAAGTTGGTTCCCAGTACTGTGAACGCTGGTATTTCACCGAAACAACGTCAGGGGCTTAAATTCAAACCAGTGAAGTTATCAAATTGATAATTTCAAACAGTTTAAACAGTGAAATTATCAGTGTTATATCACTGATTTATATCTATAAACAACCGAAAAGCATGTAATAAATATTTCTTCGCATTTGAATTCGGACCGTGCATTATTCTACATCTATATGCCATCAAAATTGATATGAGCCGCGTCACGACAAAACCAACGTAAAGCATTTGCGACCAGAATGGATCCAGACCAGCTTGCCATCCTGGTCTGGATCCATGCTGGTCGCAAACGCATTACGTTGGTTTTGTCGTGACACGGCTCATATCTTTTTTTCTAAACAATATGACTAATAACGTTTCCTCATTGATATCGATCATATTGTCCTGATATATGTATAAGTTATGTTATTTTAAGATCTACAACACTTGAAACTGATCAATGCTATCCTGTCCTAAATACATGTATATAACTTACAGACTGGCATAAAGAAGGCAACACATTTTAAGAGAGAAAAAAAGACATACTGGACCTGGGAGTTAATCAGTTGCCTAAACCGGGTGCATTTATTTGTTGTACGAAATTGTGTCATTTGCAATTTCTAAATAAATAATATACTTGTTATTATACCTTCTAGATATCAATAAAATTGGTAAAGGTGTGAAACTATTATCGTATCAAACTAAAGGTGGAAATATCATTATCAAACTAGTCTAACAATACTTGACTCAGACTTGACATGTACTTCGAACAGTATCTATAGCACATTGATTTACCAAAACGGTGTTAACAAGATCTTTATGCTTAAATTGATAATGTCAAACACGACCTAAGGGGACAAGTGAACGTCGTCTAGACTTATTATAACTTAATGTATATATCTATTTATTGTCCATGTCAATATCTGGACATACTACATATACTATCGCAATATATCGGAAATTAGAGAATTGAAAACTAGCCCTCAACCTTTCTAAATTTATGTAATAGATTTGTCCTACCTTGAATCTAATTCAGTGATATTGAATTCTGCAGAGCACAGTTTAGCCACCCTACCGTTTCTGGGCAAGCTACCAGTACTAGACATTTGTACTCTGGTACTCTGGGCCATCCGAATTAAAATCTGCATGCATAGGGTAATCAATTCGAGCAGGTAATGGTTGAATTAGTACTACTATGTGGACATTAGTACTACTATGTGGACACTCAGTACATCACATCCAAAATATCAGGTTTAGTTTAATCAATGAATACGAATTCTAATATGACATTGATGTAAAGATTTTTTCAAGACCGATGATTTCACATGGTTATTATAACCGTTTCTTAATCTGAAACTATTATTTGAACCAAGTAGTTGTCGTGCCAGATATATGGAATCTGTAAAAGTAAAATTCACGAAGTCTTTATAAAGAAACTCATTACTTCTCTTCGTATTTTAACTTTCTAATTTAACGTCTTTAACTCAGCACGTCTTTACGAATCAAATTTGGATGCAATATGACTTTTCTTTTTGTCAGGTCGTATGCAATCTGGGAAACTCAGATGTAATACATGCAGTAAGTATGAAAAATATGTATATCATAAAGGACTGTTATTGTGTTCTCATACCATAATTACAGAAATACAATCAGAGCTTTATATCATAAAATGTAATAATATACATCTACATGTTCGTGCTAGCTACAATGGACCACGGACTTTAATTACAAATCACGGAGTTTAGTATAAGTCAATGAACGGACTTAAATCTTAAATATTTTTTTTTTTAGAAGCGTTTTGATCATTTGATACGAGTGTGATGTGATAAAACGTATTTTACGTGTTTGTTCTCTTTCATATTGACTTATATTAAAGTTGTCCCATAAGTTAAATCTAGTCATGGAGCTTTATATATTGCATAATATATAGCTGTAATAAACGTATCTGATCTGGCCATAGGCTCTCTTGTATAACGTCTTCAGAGACTCGTGAAAATGACACAATGCTCACATTTACGCTGTCAAGTTTACCTAAATCTGTTGTATATTTCAAACAGTATACTTTTTTTAGCCAGAAACTGATTAAACTGTCAGAGACTGATATTTGTGGAAATTCTCATTCAATCAAGTGGGTTATTAATAATTTATGCGAATTAAATATAAAACTGGAAACAAGTATGGCTGAATGTAAAGTTATTTTGATTTTAACCCATACTCAAACAATTTACACTAATTACTAAGGTGGGTATACTGTCACATAAATATATATTTAATTCTACATTGTAAATGAAAAGATATGTAAAATACTGTTTATCTTTTATGATAGATTTTTTCCGTGCGTGTATTTGTGTGTACGCATGCTTGCGGGCTTGCGTGCATGTATGTATGTATGTACCCGCGCATGTGTACGTGTGGTATTTCTTAAATATATTATAAGAAAAAAAAACAAACAAAAAACAACAAAACAACAACAACAAAAAACTCATGTCAGTTACAAACATTTTAAATATGTGCATATCAAATGGCTTTTAAAACAGGTTGAAATATAGAAAAACTATATGTTTCTATAGGATTTTTTTTTATCAATTCACCAAAATAACTTTGATATGTTTAGCATGTATCTAGATATAATGATATATTGAAAGTATTGAAAGTTAAAAACTCATAATCATTGCGTTTGAATTGAAATTTATATAAAACTATAAAAATCTTATAGGAAGACCTTAGAAAACCAGCTACGAGCACGTGAAAATCGTTCTGATCGATTTGACTAACCTATGGTTTTTTCAAACCCATCAATGTCAAACCCCGTTAAATACATGCGTAATCAGTCACACCAGATGTCTGCTAAGTGCTAGCTAGGATATAATAAACAGCAGTTGCACCGATGTAAGTTTTAGAATTTGAATGAGAATCTCACCATGACTGAGACCCAGCTTTGCCGTGCAAAATATTTAGTGGTGTACAGCCTCTATGGTGTATCAAATTACTTGAATTGCCTCCCCTAGCAGATAAAAAAGATAAACAAAGTTGAACAAGTGTTTTTCAGAGAAACTAAGTGTTATGTCGCAGTCAGACGATATGCAAGAGGCTGATCTTGGTCTTGGTGATGGATTGAAACCAGGGGGTCTAACAATTTTGTCATCGGAACCACAGAATTCGGACGAGAGCCATTTGTTGTCAAAAGTGTCATATAATTCGGATGGAAACAATCACTCCGGATGCAGCTGTTCAGAGGGATCTGAGGATGAATTTGAACTCACTTTAATGCCTATACAGCAAATACATGATCTCAAAACTCAGTATTCTTATTTAGTGCCAAAACATTCTAGTCGATCCTGTGAAACATTCAGTGATAAAAATGAAGAAAATCTTATTTATGATGATAGATATTTTGGTCCAAAGTCAAGTGAGAAATCCACTTGTGAAGAGAACTCTTACAGGGATACTGGAAAGGACAGCAATAATGATGATAGAAAACCAGAGTTTCCTACTTATGCCGATGTTTCATATGGAACATCTATCCGTCAACAGAAAGAGTTGTTTAATCAAAACATTGAGGAGATTAGGAAGAAGATGAATGTTTCTTTATCAAACACAAATAATTCTCCTGAAAAAGAAAGAGTGAAAGGTCAATAATTTCTTTTAATTTATGAGGCCCCCATTTTTACAATTTTTTGTAAATGCTAACACCATTGCTAATGAGAAAACAATACCGTTAAAACTTTACCTTGTAACCAAGTTGGTTTACTTACTTAGGTAACTAACTAACTATCTACTCTTTTCTAATTAATACAACTAAAAATACTGCACACCACAGGCTCAGGGAGTAAGGTGAAATTTTCTGGTTTTTTTTTTATCTAATTTCACCCTTTTAAATGATCAAAGAAAAGTTAACTCGCCAAAAGGGTCTAAATCTAAGCCAATATTGGGTTATACTGTATATGAATGGTCTGACACACTTACATCATGCTTCATTGGCCTGAAACAAAATTTTGTGATTTTAACAAGGGATTAAAGGAAAATTGTGCATTGATAGTGTTAGAAAAATTAAACATGTATGTATTATTTTCTCTAATTAACATTTAGTATCGCACTGTCAGTGTTTAACAGTGTGGTATAGAGTTGTCATGGCTATCACATAACCATAACCTATTATTTTGATAGCCTTCTCAACCCTTTCTTTCTCAACTGGTTTTTTCTTAGCATACTGTTTAAATTCATTGTTACAAGTAATTAAAGTAAGATATTTTGATAAGTAACCTTGTCATTATGTAAATATTATAATTATGTTAACGAACGAAAATCAAAACAAATATGTTTTAAAATGTAAAAGTGGGACTTTATTAATGACCTACTTACATGTTAGACCAGAATACAACACTTTTTGTAACATGATCATTCACTCACAAATGATAGTACATGTATATCTCTACAGAAATTTCTTCAAGGACTTATAAAATGAGAATTGAAATAGATCTATATAAATGTGAAATCTTAAGAATAATTGGGAAAGGCTAAAACTATAAGGATACATGTACTATTTTTTAAATCACAACAAGATGAAGTTGGTTTTTATTTAAACGTCTGCTGAGTGTACAGTTTGGAAAATGTATATTATCTATCTTAAATGTATTAATATGATTATCTATGAGGTTTATTTTAGAAATGCCCTATCATATTTATTTTTTTTATAGCTGAGAATCATAAACCTAGAAAGAAAAGGACATGTGAGGAGATTGCCATGAAGTTGGCTGAAACATTACAGGTAATTGTTTTACCCTTTAGTTTTGAAAATATTCAGTACAGAAATCACACTGGTTAGCAAAAAACATACTCCAAATCTACACTGTTGTTCCGGGCTGTCACAAGCTCACAAACACACAAGCTCAAGTAAATATATGGTGGATATGAACAATAACAAACATGTGTTATATTTACATACATAAACCCAAAAACTTGAAAAATACATGTGCTTACGGTATGCAGTTAGTAATGTTGAATACTAAAATGAACTTTGATGACTCTTTTGTGCACATGTTAACATAGTTAGATAAAATGATAGAACTTGTTTCTCTACAGGAAGTTGAGGATCTAAAGACAGAACTTGACACATGTGAACAAAGACTGGAATCAAAGTACAAAGCCATTGACATTCTTAGAAAACAGGTAAATTTAACCTTTATTTAGATTTGGTGTCAAATATAGATTTTTTTCATCAAATTTTAGGGTGAAAGGGTCAAACAGGTATCTATGTACATGTACAGCATGTTTAATAACAAAATTAAAAAACTATTTTTTCAAACTACAGACAGCAGATATATAGCTTTATAAACTTTGATTATAACATTCTTGTATGTTACAAAGCAAAGACACTGATTGTGAAAATTCTACAGAAATGAATGTAAGTATATAAAATCAGTATAATAGTACAGCAACTTTTGTAACTGAACTTTAGAAAGTGTCTTACTAGTAATCATATAGCTTTGCAAGCTTCAATACATTAACCCTAACCATCCTAAATATCATAAATGGACTTGTCCATCTTTCATACTTGATCTAACCATTCATCATTTTTAGGGACAATTTTGGTATGTTTACAAATGTATTGACTGAACAGTGAAAAGCCTGTACATCTGCTCCTGTCTGATCATGGTCTGCACTGATCACATGGTCTACACTGTAGGGTTATTTTTTGGCTTACTTTATAGCCGATATTCTGTCATATTCCCAATTGAAAATAGTATGAAATTCCTAATTCACTGGAAAATATTCCCAATTTGAAAGTTACAAAATAAAAATATTGAATAACAAATTCTAAAATCATTGAAAATAAGGGCTTCTCCACTGTTATGGTGCTTAAATGTTTGACGATGCCATCCTAGACAAATGTTTGAAGATGCCATCCTAAACAGTGATTCTTTGCATTCATTTAATCACTGCAAAATTTAAGTCATGCATTTTCCCCATTTTTATGCCGCCACAAAGTGGGGAGCATATAGCGTTGCACTTGTGCATCCGTACGTCTGTCCGTCCGAGCAAACATTTTGGGTTTAGGGGCTACAGAACAGTAAAGAGAACAAAAGAGAACAATAGGTTAATTCCGTGATCAAAGGGTTTATGGGCTAGTAGCCCTTAAGAAAACAAAGAAAATAACAAAGAAAATAGCCCGTAAACCCAAAATGTTGGAATGTCCATACGTCCCGAAATCTTGTGAACGCAACTCCTCTTTAAACCGGATGGCAGATTTTGCTTAAACTTCCAGGGATGAACAACCTTAATGTGTAGATGGTAGTAAAGGAAGGAATTTTCACTGTGACCAAATTTAACAGAATTATGGCCCTTTGTTGATTTTTTCACTATATAATACCATATAGAAATTTTGTGAACGCAACTCCTCTTAAACCGGATGGCAGATTTTGCTTAAACTTCCAGGGATACACAACCTTAATGTGTAGATGGAAGTAAAGGAAGGAATTTTTGCTGCGACCAAATTTAACAGAATTATGGCCCTTTGTTGATTTTTAGCTTGACTATTTGCAGAATAATCGAGCTAATGCAGTCACCCATTTGTCGGCGTCGGCTTCCCTGTGGTTAAGTTTTTGTATGTAAGCTGGTATCTCCATAACTACTAAAGGGAATGGATTGAGACTTCACACACTTGTTCTCTGTGATTATCTAAGATGATTGGCAAAAGTCCCATAACTCTGATTTGCTTTTTTACATAATTATGCCCCTTTTTCAACTTAGAAATTCTTGGTTAAGTTTTTGTGTGTAATGTGGTATCTCCATAACTACTGAAGGGAATGGATTGAAACTTCACACACTTGTTCTCTGTGATTATCTAAGCTGATTGGCATAAGTCCCATAACTCTGATTTGCTTTTTAGCTCACCTGTCACAGACAGGGTGAGCTTTTGTGATCGCTTTTCGTCCGGCGTCCGTCGTCCGTCCGTCGTCTGTCGTCCGTAAACTTTTACTTTAAATGACATCTCCTCATAAACAACTAGGCCAATTTCATCCAAACTTCACAGGAATGTTCCTTTGGTGGTCACCTTTAAAAATTGTTCAAAGAATTTAATTCCATGCAGAACTCTGGTTGCCATGGCAACCGAAAGAAAAAACTTTAAATATCTTCTTTTAAAAAACCCTAAGAGCTAGAGCTTAGATATTTGGCATGAAACATCTTCTAGTGAGTGTCTACCAAGTTTGTTCAAATAAAAGCCCTGGGGTCAAAATTGGCCCCGCCCCAGGGGGTCATTGATTTTCCCTATATGCATATAGTAAAAACTTAAAAAATCTTCTTTTAAAAAACTCAAAGAGCTAGAGCTAAGATATTTAGCATCAAACATGTTCTAATGGGTGTCTACCAAGTTTGTTCAAATAAAAGCCCTGGGGTCAAAATTGGCCCCGCCCCGGGGGTCATTGATTTTCCTTATATGTGTATAGCAAAAACTTAAAAAATCTTCTTTGAAAAAACCAAAATAGCTAGAGTTTAGATATTAAGCATGAAACATCTTCTAGTAGGTGTGTACAAAGTTTGTTCAAATAAAAGCTCTGGGGTCAAAACTGGCCCCGCCCCAGGGGTGTCATTGTTTTTAACTATATGTGTATAGTAAAAACTTTAAAAAATCTTCTTTTAAAAAGCCCAATGAGCTAGAGCTTAGATATTTAGCATGAAACATCTTCTTATAGGTGTCTACCAAGTTTGTTCAAATAAAAGCCCTGGGGTCAAAATTGGCCCCGCCCCAGGGGGTCATTGATTTTCCCTATATGCATATAGTAAAAACTTAAAAAATCTTTTTTTAAAGAACTCAAAGAGCTAGAGCTAAGATATTTAGCTTCAAACATGTTCTAATAGGTGTCTACCAAGTTTGTTCAAATAAAAGCCCTGGGGTCAAAATTGGCCCCGCTCCGGGGGTCATTGATTTTCCTTATATGTGTATAGCAACAATTTAAAAAATCTTCTTTGAAAAAACCCAAATAGCTAGAGTTTAGATATTAAGCATGAAACATCTTCTAGTGAGTGTCTACAAAGTTTGTTCAAATAAAAGACCTGGGGTCAAAATTGGCCTTGCCCCGGGGTCGATTGATTTTCCTTATATGTGTATAGCAAAAACTTAAAATCTTCATTGAAAAACCCAAACAGCTAGAGTTTAGATATTAAGCATGAAACATCTTCTAGTTAGTGTCTACAAAGTTTTTTCAAATAAAAAGCCCTGGGGTCAAAACTGGCCCCGCCCAGGGGTGTCATTGTTTTTAACTATATGTGTATAGTAAAAACTTTAAAAAAAAATCTTCTTTTTAAAAAGCCCAATGAGCTAGAGCTTAGATGTTTAGCATGAAACATCTTCTTATGGGTGTGTGTGGGGGGGGGGGGGGGCTATATACAGGTGAGCGACCTCAGGGCCATCATGGCCTCTTGTTTACATAATTATGCCCCTTTTTCGACTTTGAAATTCTTGGTTAAGTTTTTGCATGTAAGCTTGTATCTCCATAACTACTGAAGGGAATGGATTGAAACTTCACACACTTTTTCTCTGTGATTATCTGAGATGATTGGAACAAGTCCCGTAACTCTGATTTGCTTTTTTACATAATAATGCCCCTTTTTTGACTTAGAAATTCTTGGTTAAGTTTTTGCGTGTAAGCTGGTATCTCCATAACTACTGATGGGAATGGATTGAAACTTCACACACTTGCTCTCTGTGATTATCTAAGATGATTGGCACAAGTCCCATAACTCTGATTTGCTTTTTTGCATAATTATGCCCCTTTTTTGACTTAGAAATTCTTGGTTAAGTTTTTGCGTGTAAGCTGGTATCTCCATAACTAATGAAGGGAATGGATTGAAACTTCACACACTTGGTCTCTGTGGTTATCTAATATGATTGGCACAAGTCCCATAACTCTGGTTTGCTTTTTTGCATAATTATGCCCCTTTTTTTGACTTAGAAATTCTTGGTTAAGTTTTTGCGTGTAAGCTGGTATCTCCATAACTACTGAAGGAAATGGATTGAAACTTCACACTCGTGTTGTCTGTGATTATCTTAGATGATTGGCACAAGTCCCATAACTCTGATTTACTTTTTCACATAATTATTCCCCTTTTTCGATTCATAAATTCTTAGTTAAGTTTTTGTGTGTAAGCTTGTATCTCCATAACTGCTGAAGGGAATGTATTGAAACTTGAAGGGTTTGTACCTTTTCAGACAATTTTATGTATTCATATAGGTAAGCATTATTATACTCAATGAAACACCCTTGTGACAAATTTTCGAATAGTCGAGCGTTACTGTCCTCCGACAGTTCTTGTTTCACTATATACCATATATATGTTGTCAGTGGGGGCATCCATGTCCTTTGAACACAGTTCTAGTTTTAACAAAACATTGCTGAAATTCCCAATTCTATGCGTGTGGGTCACCACCAGCAGATTAAGAGTGTAATACATCTCTATTGTAGGCAGAGGAAGCCCAGAAACAGCTCAGATTCACTGAAAGGACCTCAAAGGAAACTTCTCTAAAGTTGTCTCAGGTAATGTCTGTTTTGAATGAAATGCTATTCTAACAAATGTTCAAACATTACTGTATTATTGTATGAAATTTCAACATGTTTGTAAAGATGTAACACATAATGTGATGCTGTAAAAACTGTATGTAAAAAAAGGTTTGCCCTCTTGTAAGGATAGATGTTAGTTGATGTATATATAAAATATTGTTTATTTATTATAAATGAATAGAAAAGGTAAATATAATGCTCTTAACACTTTTGTGATATGGTTTTTCCCAAACAAATCAAATAATGTGGTTAAAATTTGACATAAAGTTTAATACAGATTGTATATAGATGATAAAATTATCACAAATGTCCAATGAAAATTGACATTATTACATACAAATATAAAACCTTGAATAAAGCATGCTGATTTCTTATGTCTGTTTTCTATAAAGTTACTGCAGACTTTACAGTGTTTTTAAATTTAAATGTTATGTAATATCTCTGAAAATGCTTAAGATGAGTACTAATATTCCTTTTGCTTTCCATTAAAAGCATGATACTCATATACATGGAATTTTAGAGATTTTATACCTATTTTAGATAAAGAGTTGTTACTGTTCTGAAATTTGTGATTTTATATGTGTTCTCTCCCTTTGACTGTAAAAATGTGTGATGTTATACCAAATATAATGTAAGTGTTCTCTCCCTTTGACTGTGAACCTCATGACATTTAAGATATAGGGGTTATAAATTGGACATTTATGTTAGAGTGTTTATTGTTGGCTGTCAAACACTTGCCTGTTATTTATGTGGGCTTGAATCCCTTAGGGACTTAGATTTCAGCTACATGTGTATTATATGCCCAGTACCAGATTTAGTATGCACAAGTGCACCTTGGGTCTTTGCTACCTTAAAAGCTGAGAAGTCAAAATAATTGTGGCACTCTTTCCTATGTCCAAGAGAAAAAAAGTGTAATTAGTCCCCTACCGGTTTACCGGAGGGGACCTTAGGTTTACCCTCCGTCCGTCTGTCCGTCCGTCTGTCCGTCCGTCTGTCTGTCAGTCCGTCAGTCCGTCCGTCCACAAAACTGGATCCCGCGATAACTTGAAAAGTACTGAAAATATTTTTATGAAACTTGGTATATGGATAGATGGCAGTATGGAGATTATGCACGTCTTTTTCTTTTCTTCCTATGTTGAAAATTCTGGTTGCTATGGCAACAAATAGGCTGAAAATATGGCAAATTTTACACATAAACTGGATCCAGTGATAACGCAAAAAGTACTGGAAATATTTTTATGAAACTTGACATATGGGTAGATGGCAGTCTTGGGATTATGCACGTCTTTTTCTTTTCTTCCTATGTTGAAAATTCTGGTTGCTATGGCAACAAATAGGCTGAAAATATGGCAAATTTTACACATAAACTGGATCCAGTGATAAAGCAAAAAGTACTGGAAATATTTTTATGAAACTTGACATATGGGTAGATGGCAGTCTTGGGATTATGCACGTCTTTTTCTTTTTTTCCTATGTTGAAAATTCTGGTTGCTATGGCAACAAATAGGCTGAAAATATGGCAAATTTTACACATAAACTGGATCCAGTGATAAAGCAAAAAGTACTGGAAATATTTTTATGAAACTTGACATATGGGTAGATGGCAGTCTTGGGATTATGCACGTCTTTTTCTTTCTTCCTATGTTGAAAATTCTGGTTGCTATGGCAACAAATAGGCTGAAAATATGGCAAATTTTACACATAAACTGGATCCAGTGATAAAGCAAAAAGTACTGGAATATTTTTATGAAACTTGACATATGGGTAGATGCAGTCTTGAGATTATGCACGTCTTTTTATTTTCTTCCTATGTTAAGAATTCTGGTTGCTATGCAACAAATAGGCTGAAATTATGGCAAATTTTACACATAAACTGGATTCAGTGATAAAGCAAAAGTACTGGAAATATTTTTATGAAACTTGACATAATTATGGTAGATGGCAGTCTTGAGATTATACACGTCTTTTTCTTTTCTTCCTATGTTGAGAATTCTGGTGCTATGGCAACACATTAGACTGAAAATATCGGCAAATTTTACACATAAACTGAATCCAGTGATAACTCAAAAAGTACTGGAAATATTTTTATGAAACTTGACATATGGGTAGATAGCAGTCTTGAGATTATGCATGTCTTATCTGTTCTTCCTATTTTGAAAAAATATCGGTCGCCTTGGCAACAAATAGGCTTAAAACATGGCAAATATAACAATATTTGTGATTAGTCAAAAAGAGCTGAAAATTTTTATGAAATTGCATCTTTAATTCAAGAGTAATTCTCTCTTTAAGAATTTTGCTTTTCAAATATTATATTTTGGTAACAGGGATGTTTCAAATATTAACTTTAGAGTGTCCTTCAGTCCGTCTGTCTGTCTGTTCATAAAAACTGTTTCCTGTGATCACTTTTAAAGAACTTTTCCAACAAGTTTACTTAAAATAGAGAAAATTGAAACATTAGTGAATGGCCAATGGCCCTTCAGAATGTTGATGGGGTTCTAACCGGTAGGGGACTTATGGATTGCTTGCAATACTATGATAATTGCTTGTTTATTATGTTATACCAGCCAAAGTCCCTTGTTTATTTTTAGCCCCTTTATTTTCATATTGTCACAATTAGATACTACATTTCCTTTTATAATACATTAAAAATTTAGTTCCAGTCAAGATTTCTTTATTTCTCACTTTTTTTTAATAAATACTTGCAAGAACTGTAACCCTGTGTTTCATAAATAATGCTGAAGTGGAGTATTATCTTTCTTTCCATATGATGAAGGGAATTAACTTGTACAGTCTAATTTGTTGAAAATGGCTGGGTTTCCTCCCTTTAACTATTACCAAAATAATGAGTCTTGTCATTAGTCTATGTATATTTCACCGAGTTTCTGTGTGCCTTGCTACCTATGAATGTTTGTTACATGCACTTCCTGTATGCTAAAAAGCTGCAGACATTATTACAAAATTTGGTTATAATTTATCAAATATGGATAACAGAAAAAAAGGAAGATTTGACATGTTTGTGTGTGAAATACTAATAATTGTATCTCAAAACATGTATTATTATGCATTGAAGAAAAATCCTTTTAATTGTTTCTAAATTATTATGAATTTATTGAAATTGTATACCTGTATTTCTGACTTTGATCTACCTGATATTTCTGTATGTATATACTAATGGCATTGAATGCACCTGTTTTTATTGCATGTTGCATGATGTCACAGGAGATTTGTGAGTTACAATTTCAAGTTGAGCGACAAGAAAACTCGATACTAGATAGCCAAGAAGTCTGGGCACACAGATTTGATAGGTAAGGTAGAGCAGTTATTAACATTGTTCTTATAGATGTAGGAAAACTTCACATTGTATTGATATGTACTCAAAGTAGTAGGTGCTAAAACCATAAAAGTCATATGAAAGGTTTATGAACAATCTTTATGGATAATGTATGTTGTGTTGAGAAATGAGTGTTATTGGAAGATTGGAAGATTTCACTCTGTATCACGGCAGTAAGCCACATTGAATTTACAAGAGCACAGTTCAGCTACCGCATCGTTCCTGGGCAGGCTGTCAAGCAGTTTACCAGTTTACTAGTTGCCTTCACTTTTGCAAGGAACTGATAACTTTAGTGCATACAAGAGCAGCTTACAGTGCGAATGTCTGTAGAAAGGATTTCATGATGAATCACAACAAAGTGACCTACATTGGGAAATGAGATGGTCTGTTGTACTTTATACAGTTGTATTTGACATTTTAGAAATTCTCCTTGTTAAAACATACTACCTTTTCACCTGTCTAATGGATATCTAAAAGTTATATAGTGTATTAGATTTAGAATTAACACTAAGACAAATTTTTAGTGTAGATGATAATATTAGTATTTACTAGATAAATTCAATTGTAGCATTTATCAGTATATACAGTAACCATGCTTAAAACTAACATTCTACAATTTGTTGTGTTATTAAGATTGTAACCAGATATTGAAATCTAATATAGAAATCTCACAAGATTATTCATTGATCTCTGGAAATGTCCAATAAGGAAGTGCCATTTTTAAATTGTTCATAATACACAGGTTGGTCATGTCATGATGTGTGACAGTGTCTGTAACGTGATAATATTCCAAAAATAATTCCAAAAGTGTCTAATCCCCAGAATAATCTCCTGTAACTAAATATTTATCACATCAGTTCTTTCAGATAACTTGTCTTTTTTTCTAAGGTCAAAATTTAATTTTTTTTACCTCTGACATGCCTGATTGCTTTGATGCACATGCAATTGTTTTTGTGTATACATTGGGTAAAACTTATATCGGATCTTTGCATAAATGCTTGTTCAGAAAATCAAAGTTTTTTATTTAGCTTTCTTAGAATTATAGTTAATCTCTCTTATATTAACTTTGCTTAATGCTTAGAAATTATTTTGTTACTGCTTTATAACCACTAGTTTAGCTTTAAAGCATTTTCCTTATTTCACCATATTTCTTCAGTGAACATTTTATTAGCTCCTTTTTCAAAAGAAAAAGCAGAGCTGTTTTCATGACCCACATAATTATTGGCAGGTTGGTTAATTTTTGTTTATGGTCATTAATGTCAATGCTAATATAACTATGACTTTGAAACTTTATATATGGATGCACCTTGATAAGTTCCACCAGCCGCACCCATTGTCAGGTCTAAAGGTCAAGGTCACTGGGATTTGTTGTAACAAAACATCAAACTGGCCATGAAGGCAAAGTGCCTTGACCTAGGAACATTAAACTTTGTATGAAGACGTATCTTGAGGATGTCTAACTCCCATATATATTTTCAGGTCAAAATGTCAGAGGTCAAGGTGACTTGGTCCTGTAATAAAAAACCATAAAATTGGTCATTAAAGCAATGTGAAATAACCTAATAACTTCAAACTTTGTATGTAAATGATCCTTGGTGATTTGTAACTGCCATATCCATTTTAAGGTCAGATGGTCAAAGGTCAGGGTCACTTAAATAAGTATGCAAAATATAAAACTGGCTATTTTAATCAGGATGTATTGACCAAGGAACTTCAAACATTGTATTTCAGATCACGGTCATCTTGACCTGTACCGGTAAAAAAAGGCATAGAACTGGCTAATAAATCAGTGAATAAATACCCAAGGAACTACAAAATTAGTCCAATCTGCCATAGTTATTTTTGATCAAAATATTAAAGGTCAAGGTTGCTTGATATATGGATTCATCTGGAAGAGTTCTATGCCCATTTCTTGGTCAAAATTCAATGTGACCTTTAATTCAAGTTATTTCTTTATTTAGAAAATGAGTAGATTTCTATCCAATACTGAGAAAAGTTGAGCATGCTGCTCCTTTGACAGTTATAGTGTGAAATTTTCTTTTTGGTTTCTTTTAATTATCAAAGTCCATTTATGGTGTTACTTCTTTTTTACCTCACCTGTCACAAAGTGATAGGGTGAGCTTCTGTGATCGCTTTTTGTCTGTCCGTCCGTAGTCCGTCTGTCCGTAAACTTTTACTTTAAATGACATCTCCTCATAAACCACTAAGCCAATTTCATCCAAACTTCACATGAATGTTCCTTTGGTGGTCACCTTTGAAAATTGTTCAAAGAATTTAATTACATGCAGAACTCTGGTTGCCATGGCAACCAAAAGAAAAAAACTTTGAATATCTTCTTCTAAAAAAATCCAAAGAGCTAGAGCTTAGATATTTGGCATGAAACATCTTCTAGTGAGTGTCTACCAAGTTTGTTCAAATAAAAGCCCTGGGGTCAAAATTGGCCCCGCCCCAGGGGGTCATTGATTTTCCCTATATGCATATAGTAAAACCTTAAAAAGTCTTCTTTGAAAGAACCCAAAGACCTATAGCTAAGATATTTATCATGAAAATCCTCTAATGGGTGTCTACAAAGTTTGTTTAAATAAAAGCCCTGGGGTCAAAATGGGCCCCGCCCTGGTGACATTGATTTTCCTTATGTGTGTATAGCTCAAACTTAAAAATCTTCTTTGAAAAAATCCGAATAGCTAGAGTTAAGATATTAAGCATGAAACATTTTCTAGTAAGTGTTTACAAAGATTGTTCAAATAAAAGCCCTTGGGTCAAAACTGGCCCTGCCCCAGGTGTGTCATTGTTTTTAACTATATGTGTAAAGAAAAAACTTGACCAGCTAGACCTTAGATGTTTAGCATGAAACATCTTCTAATGGGTGTCTACCAAGTTTGTTCAAATAAAAGCCCTGGGGTTTAAACGGGCCCCTCTCTGGGGGCCTATATACAGGTGAGCGACTTCAGGGCCATCATGGCCCTCTTGTTATTTATTTTTTAAACAATGATTTAGCTAATGCAATATTATGTAAATTTGTGAAGAAAAATGGTAATTTCAGCACATTTTTCCCCAACATTTCCTTACTTTCAGTTCATTAATTATTTTTATCTTTGTTTTGTATTTATTTAAGTGAAGAATAGATATTTCTATCTTAACTTTCAGGTATAACAAATTTTCTCAAATTGATTTCTCTCTAATGTTCATTTATGAAAATATAAGATTGACTTTGGTAACCTAGTAAATGTCTCAAATCAATTACAAATTCTTGTAGTCAGTACTGTAACCAAGCAATAATGAATATTTTGGAATAATCAGTACAATGAACTGCATAACATTTCCGTTACAAATCAGCAATTAACTGTTTGCTATAAACATTACTGTAACCAAACAACAGCTATAAACATTACTGTTACCAAACAACAACATTAAAGAGTTATCCAACTGTAACAACTTTTATAAGTGCAGGAACATCTTAAGGTTGAAAATGAGACATTCTTTGAATTCCCTTTGAACAACCAATTTGCATGCACTTCCGCAAACATACATGTATAATCATCATTTTTGAAATAGAAAATAAAAACTTATTAAAATATTGTCATGGTTACAGTACTGAACTTACTTCACGTTCGTATTTATATATATGCTCCCTATATTCACACTTTGTATGTAGGTTAATGTAGCTGGTGGTGGTAGTAGTGATAGAGTTACCTCCCTTGTTGTCCAGCCCGACCAGGATCTTGGTGAATTGTCAACGCAACTTTTAAAGCCAAGACGGCAGGCTGACAGACAGAAAGATGATCATAAACCTAAAACTGTTCCTGTAGAAAAATATAGAAGGTATTTAGTTCTCGGGAATGATAGCTTGGTACAAGTGATTTGATAGTTTTAGCTTTGATAAAAAAGACCTTTGTAACATAAGTAAAGATTAAAGAAAAATCAAATTTAGGTCCCAGTTTAATATTAAGATGAAATTATAAATATTTTCTTGTATGTGGCAAAAAAAAGTGATAAGTAATTTTGATCTGACTTTCATTTTTTTTTAAATTTTTAGTAATTTCTAGCTAATCTGTTTCACAGAAAAATTCAAGCTATTATGAGCACTGCATCATTGTCATCAATGTTATTGTGCAGAAACTTTGATGCTTTAGAAATTACCAACATGAAACTTGGAGTACTTGCTTATCTAGACATGATGCAGTCATTAGACAAGGGGCATAATTCTGAAAAGCTATACAGTACCTTTTTGTGTCGCCTTGAAAAAGGCGACATATAGGGGTTACTTTTGTCGGCGGCGTCATTGTCGGCGTCGTTGTCGTCGTCGTCGCTGTCGGCGTCCCCTTAAGCTTGTCCGGAGCATAAGTCAGTCATTATAAGTCGGATTGACTTCAAACTTAGTATGCATGCTTCTCATAATGACCCGAAGTGCAGTGAACAAGAACCTGTACTCTGTACTTCTTATTTTTTGAGTTATTGCCCTTTGAGGATGATAGATCTCATTAAGAAGAAGTGCAGTGCACAAGAACTGGTACTCTGCATTTCTTATTTTTTGAGTTATTGCCCATTGTTAATTTTCATACTTTATTTTTGTCCAGGCCTTTTCTCCTAAAGTATAAAAGCTATGGACATGAAACTTCATAGGATGATAGATCTCATTAAGAAGAAGTGCAGTGCCCAAGAACTGGTACTCTGCATTTCTTATTTTTTTGAGTTATTGCCCTTTGTTAATTTTCATACTTTATTTTTGTCCAGGCCATTTCTCATAAATTATAAAAGCTTTAGACTTGAAACTTAATAGGATGATAGATCTTATTGATAAGAAGTGCAGTGCACAGAAACAGCTGATCTGCATTTCTTATTTTTTGAGTTATTGCCCTTTGTTGATTTTCAAATTTCATTTTTGTCTTTGCCATTTCTCTTAAACTATATTGTTCACAAGGCAACACATCCGACTCGCGGAGTTCTAGTTTAACTAAATTACAGAATTTACTTAGAATATTTGTCAATAATGGTAATTTTAACAGACAAGCGTAAAATGACACAAGTGCTCTTGTTTTTCATATATTGCTATGTGGTGAAACATGGATTGATTCAAAGGTTTATTTGCATGAAGGATTGGGTTTCATTGCTTTAATCTGACGCAGCTTTTTGCTTCATTTGAAATTTTTAGCCATTTTAATTCTTATCACACTTGATATCTTTTAATGGATTTGTCCGTCTTTTCAACCTGGCCCAAACCATTTATTGGGGATATTCCGTATAAGGACTGACTGGGCAGTGGACAGTGCACACAATGCTCACCAGCTATTTAAGTCCTGTGCTGGACGCAAGTGTCAAATCCCTTGCGGCCAGCAGGCTGAGGGCATGGTTTATACAACTTTGGTTTACATCCAATAGGCAATCATACAAGCCACATATCTAAGCACATTCAAAAATCATGATATTTTATTTTTAGTAAGAAACAGTATCTTTTAAACTCCTGCAGAGATCGAAAATTCCACTCATCCACTGGTAATTACTAGTAGAATTAAGGAGTATTTGATGCAGGATGAATAGAAAAATGTTGTCTGCACATTGGATTTAGAAACTACTCGTCCTAGGATGAGTGACTCTCAAAATATTTTTTGATGCTTGCCCTGTCTATAGAATTCATCTACCGTTTATAGATTTCTAATATCTGTAAAACATTTAATATTATATCCTGCAATATAATCTCTAAACCATCACTAAATTTATTCTATAACTCTTTAATATTATCTAGCTTATAATTATAATATATTATACTAACGCATATATGATACGTGTATATTCTATTGAAGTCAGTTTTATAGTCACAATGTAGATAAATGAGTACATAATCTTCAAAAACTGGGATATGGTTTACATGAATATTGTATGGATAAAGCCTTTAAACAGGAGATACCAGACATTACATTATGCTTTTGCTTCACATGCATGTAATTTTTATGGATGTTGTTTTTATTTAAAGATTTTTATATGGGTTGGTTACCTGATTGTACAATGAACATTTTAATTTTGACCTGCTGCTCTTTCCGTATTTAAAAAGGGACACATTAAAAAAAAAATTGCTGTTCAGTGGTTAGTTTTGCTCCCCTTCACAAAGAAGTTAGGGTATATTGTTTTGCATTTGTCTGTCACCAAATGGTTTTTTAATCAATAACTAAAGAACGATTAGGAACTTCAAACTTGGTATGGTGATTGTTCATGACCAGTAGATGGCCCCTATTGATTTTGGGGATAAAGGTCAAGGTCTTATTGACCTTGTAGGTATAAATGGTTTCTGATCAATAACTAAAGAACACTTAGGCCTAGGAACTTCAAACTTGGTATGGTGATTACTCATGACCAGTAGATGAACCTTATTGATTTTGGGGCAAAGGTCAAGGACACATAGTAACCTGACCAAATGACTAATTGGCTGCCGATAGGGGGCATACATGTTTTACAACCATATCTTGTTTCTAAAGAATACATACTACTGATGTCATGTAAGATCAATGAAATGGAAAAAAAATGACATTCTTTTTCCTTATGTCATGTAACCTATTATTTATAAACATTTTAACTACAGAAACTTGTGTCAAAGAAACAAAGCTTTAATGAAATACTTTTAAGAGTCAAGAACAGAAGACCTCAGTGAAAATAACAAGCTCAGAAAATGGGTATTTTGATACAACTATGGTTTATGGTTTATATGAATACAAATTTACATATTCCAAATTTTATTTTCTCAGTTGCTAAGTTGTTTCCATACATGAAATGATTTAATTAAGGGAGTTCCACAGTTGTCTTTTTTCTCAATATGAAACCTGATATTGATACAAGTATTTTTAAGTGGCTGTGAAAAGATTTTTATTTTTTGTGTTATTTAAAGCTGTGGACAGGGAGAATGATGAGCTTCTGGCATTGTTAGACATACAAGAGAGGGCAAAATATGAGAAGACAAGAAGTGTGTCCTCGGAAGAGAATTACTGCTCGTTCTCAACTACTGAGGTAATTAAATGCAACAAACTTAACCCCAACATGTTTCTCTGATTGTCTCCCTTGATATTCCAGTCATATATCCTTTAATGAGATGTATACAACTAAAATATATAAATAAATATGATTGTTGGGTTGTTGTTTTTTTTTTCAAGTTAGTTAAAAGTTATTTATGTATGTTGAAAGAAACAGAATTATGAGCAATGTTTAATCTGAAATTGTCATTCAAGCTTATGAAGTCATGTTTTGTTTAAACTGCTTATACTGAATTATTTTTTCTCTTATCAATCAGTTTGTGGGCATAATTTTACAACTATTTGTTTTATAATCTGTTGTTTATTTGTCTTTGTATGTCACAAAATTTTAACCTTAACAAAAAAAGATCCTTTTTCTATACAGCCTCCAAACTTTCCACAGGTGCACTTGCACCTTGATGAGCCAATTGGAGGTCAGTGTGGTCAAAGGTCAAGGTCATACCCTGGGGGCATGGCGTTCATTTTAATTATTAGTTTTTTTGGGGATAATATTTAAGACTTTACCAGTTAAATTTTTTTTTTTTTTGCTCGTGTAATCAACCATTTATATACATGAATTAAGTGTAATGGAAGATTTTTCAGGTATTTGTAAGTTATGATTACATGTATATGACATGATTATTTACAGGCTTGGCATTGCTAGGAGCATGGTAGGTTTGTAGAATATCAACACCTAATCCATCGTACAATGTGCCCACTGCTGCTCTGGGCCTAATTCCTGAAGAAAAAATTGGGTCAAAATGAAAGAAGGGATGGTAAATTTTAGGAACTCAAACTCTTCTTATGTTCAAATAAAAAAATCTATCATAAAAAAAAATAAATGATTTCCATTCTGAAAACATTCGGCCCCACTGTTGTAAAACTTGTTCAGTTGATTCCAATTGATTTTACATCCAAATGTATTTAGTAAAAAAAGTTAACAATGCCAACAGGAGAATAGGGTTCTGGGTTCTTGCATTCAGACTGGTATGTTTCAGTTAGTTTACCCATGCTGGAAATCTCATTTAGGGTTGGCGAGGTGCCAGATGAAGGCTTGTGCCTTTAAACATGTTGCATTTTGGTGCTTTTAAAATGATACTGGGTGTCTAGGGAGTGAATGAACAAAAACGGGGTCCAAAATCTTATCGCCTAAGGGAAGTTCTCCAAATAAGTTTATTATCATGTACAGCAAGTTGGAAATTACAAAACCCAATTTCCTGGTGTAGAGGAAAAAAAAGGGAAATCAAATGAAATGTTGAAAAATTAATCTATTGAAAAAGCCCAAATTAAAAATATGTAGGAAATATGCAAGAAAAAAACAATAAATGGTATTTTTAGTTTGATCAATATAAATTGGGGTTCAGAATTTAAAACCTAACTCAATGTCACCCAAATTTAAAGTATGGTTCACACAATATTTTACAATTCAAGAAATAATGAATATTATGACAATAAATTTAAATTTGTTTTCATTAAATGTTTAAAAATTTTACTGTTTTATAAATTTAGTTACTCGCTATTACAAATTGTTAGAGACGAGCCTTTATCACACCGTAATGCTTAACCCGGAAAGCGTTTGGGGAACATTTGCAGAGGAATAAATCTCTAACCAGCCTAAGTTAGCTAATATAAGTTCAGGAAAGGGCAGAGTACAGGAAACTTATCTGGGAAACTCTAAACTAAACTTTGCCCTCAATGGCTGATTTGGTTAGTCTAAATGGATGAAAGGATGTTGTTTTTTTTAAAATACATTTGCCCATTGTGTTTAAATGGTGAATGCATTGGAAAAGTACCCAATAACTTTACATTTTGCCATAATTTAATCAGTGCCTCAAATTTTAACTATGCAAAAAATAATTAAACAATAATCCATGTGACCCAAGAAAAATAAACAAAAAATGGTTTGGAAACATTTCAGTTTACAAAAAGATGGGGAGTCTTTGGTGGTTTAAGTTCCAAATTTAAAGTTTATAATATTTTTCCAAATATCAACTGTTGCCAAATCGCCATTTAACATCAATGTTTTAGATATAATTAGTAAAAAATAGTCAATTTCAGCTAAATTGACAAATGAAAAAATAACATAATGTTCCACTTTCAGGAGAGAAAGCTTAAAAATTTGTGAAAATTTACAAAAAAAAAAATAAAATAAATAAATATAATTCAGAACCCAAAAATGTTATAAATAAAATTGAATAGGCA